CTGATTGGTGTCAGCATCGCCTGGGTGCCCATTGTGCAGTCAGGACAAAGTGGGCAGCTCTTCGATTACATCCAGTCCGTCACCAGTTACTTGGGACCACCCATTGCAGCTGTTTTCCTGCTTGCTGTTTTCTGGAAGAGAACCACTGAGCCGGTAGGTATCATTCTGGCATGTCCAGAAAAGCCATTCTGGCACAGAAGTTCCCACATGGGTTTGCATGTTCTCTATGAGAAGGATTCTATTTCCCAGACATCTTAAGCAGGAATGGGTGTGCTATTGAGGGTTTGTATTGGAGACCCTCCAGGGACGACGGGACTCTCCTGGGTTCACATTCTCTAGGACTCTTCTCCTTGCTGCTGGTTCCAAACTAATGATGTACACTTTCCATCCACTCTTCGTGATTTTGACCCGACTGCCTGGCACTCCCTGGGACGTCTGTAGCCCCTGGGTGAGCAGCTCCAGAAGAAGTCCCAGCACAGGCTGCTTTCAGTGGTTCTGTAGTGAGCAAGGCTTTCCAGCCAGCACTTTTCAGGGCCCAGTGAAGGACGACGACCTGGTCCTCAATCAATTTATATGCAAAACAATGTAAAGTAGATAACAATTGAAGGATAAAATGTGGCACAAAATCTAAGTAGGGAGGGATCCCCAGAAACGCTACATCAGTGTGGGCTGAAACTGAGAGGGAAGAGAGGGCTTTCAAGGCAGAGAGACTAGCACTGCCCGGAACTTGGAGGTGGAAGTGGAAGGATAGGAGTGAGGGTGATGAATCTCCCCTGGGTCAAGAGGGAGTTTGTGTGTGTGTATAATGGAAGACATAACTGGAAAGGGAGGTTAGGGTTAGTTGAGGAATGGCCCCTTTGAAAGCTAAGCTAAAGAATTTGAGTCGTCAGTGGGGTGACATTGCAGATTTTGAAGCACAATGAAAAAGATGCCTTTGGATATGCCTTCTGATTGGGGTGTTGCTCAGCTGTGTCTGTATCCTACCATCAACGTGATTGGGGAGGGTTGGGAAAGAGTAGGGGTGCTGACTATGTAGCTGATCGTCTGAAACAATGTAATTGATAATGTATTTTTGGTTGGAGACAACTCTTTTCTCCCAGTAGGATAGAAACAAATATATACCAGTGAAATACTTCACTGGAGTGACCCCAGCTTTGAGGTACATAAATCACCACATGTGCCTCTCTTCATTTGACATTTGCCATTAGGAAGACAGTCCAGATTTGCTGGTGACACAAAACTGGGTGCTTAGATAAATGCCCTTAAGAGGTCAGAATTGAACCTGAAAGTGATCTCAACAGGTTAGAGAAATAGGGACACATCTTGGGATATGTTTCAGTAGAGGTTGGCAGAAGCTGGTTCACTGAGCGATTTCCAAAATACAATTTAGGAAAGAGTGGCTAGAAGCCCAGTTGGGTGTTGCAGTGGGCTATAAGTAGATTCAATCCAGCAGTGGACCAAGGCTTTCAAAACAAAAGGCTAAGAACTGGCTAGACTGAGGAGGTTCTGAAGTGGGGGTGATTTTACGCTCTCCCAGGGGACATTTAGCAATGTCTGGGAACATTTCTGAGGGTTATGACTTGGGGAATGCTATTGATATCTAGTGGGTGAAGGCAAAGGATGCTGCTAAACACTCTACAATGCACAGGACAGCACCCCCTGTCCCCGCAAAGAATTATCCAGCCCAGCTGTCACAGTGCTGAGGGTAAGAAACACTGGCCTTAAGTCTCTGGAGTATAGCACATAGAGATTGCAAGGTGACTGCAAGGACTGGTTAGGCACAGAGTTTGCTGAGGGGTGACTCCAAGTCTTGAGGAAAATGTCATAGGTTCCTAGATTTTTCAAGAGCTTCTTGGGAATAAAGACTAAAGGAATAGGAAGAGGCTAATTGCCAAAAGAGAAGGAAAACTTTAGCAAGTTTTATCAATGCTATTCACACAAACTAAATCAAGAAATATTTTTTTGACTTAATATGTTCCGGGGGATGAATGGGGAACACTTTTTTCTTTTTCCGTATTCCTTCATTCGTTTACCAGACACTTCCAGATGTCAGACATGGGCCTAGGCACTAGCAACACAAAGAGAATGAATCCTGGTTCCTTCCTGGGTAGGCTCCCAACACAGATGGGGAGACAGAGAAGTGAATGGGTGATTACACAGCAGTGTGGTCAGTACTGGCGTGGAAGTGTGTCCACAGTGCGGCAGCCATAGCAAGGAGGAGGCACTCACCTAGTATTGTCTGGGGAGGAAGGGAGGGGACATTTAAGCTGGAACAAAGTTACCAGGAAGGGAAGAGTCTGTGCTCTTCCAGATAGAGAGAATGACCTTTGCAAAGACTTGGGACATGAACACACATGACATATTTAAAGAATAACTGGTAATTTAGCACACCTGGAATATAAAGTGTAGGCATACTGATGGCTAGCAAAGGGGCTATTCAGATCAGCACTTGACATGAATGCTCTTTCTGTCCACCCTTCTATGAGCTCGCTCTACTTTGTCCTTTTAAAATGTGGCCTCTAGACTCAGACCTCGTCCTCTAGGTGAGGACTGACCAAAAGAAAGAATGAAAGAAAGGAAGAAAAAGGTTTAAAAAAACCTGAAAAGTTGTCCCTCAATATTTCTAGTCTTTTAAAGGCTTTCCATATTTGTTATATGCAAATCCAAAATTTAATGTAAAAACATAGTATAATTTTATGTTCTCGAATTAAAAACAGTGACTTTGGATCTATAAAAGGGCCTGAAGAAGGAAGTATTATGTATATGTTGATGGAAAAGTTCATTTCTTTCTCTTTCATTCCCAAAGACCCAATTTTTTCCCATGTCTTCGAGGAATACAAATTCTTTCACAAGTAATTACTTTATATCTGAATGTGCCTAAATCTGGAGGATGATGGTGATAGTAGCTGCAGGCAGAGAGATTCAAATTATTTTTAAATCCAAGGGAATTTTTGGAGTTGAGGCTTTCGGTTGACATTCTATACCAGTTATTAGACACTTTACCACATTGTATTATGAGTCCTTGTTTTATGACCCAGTGAAAGTCACATCACTGAAACGTGATGAACACACCCACTGAAGACCTGACTTAACACTCCTCTCCACATTCTAAACTCCAGTGTCTGGCTTCAGACGGGCTGGAGCTGTCATTTCTCTTACCTTTATTCCTTTGCCTCTGTTCCCCCAGGAATGCTTGGCTGTTTTGTATGTTTGGTGTCAGTTAACCCAGAGTTTTCTTTTACAGGGAGCCTTTTGGGGACTGATCTTAGGATTTCTGGTTGGGCTGGCCCGTATGATTACTGAATTTGCCTATGGAACCGGGAGCTGCATGGAGCCCAGCAACTGCCCCACGATTATCTGTGGTGTGCACTACTTGTACTTTGCCATCATCCTGTTTGCCATTTCTTTCATCACCATTGTGGTTGTCTCCCTCTTCACCAAGCCTATTCCAGATGTGCATGTGAGTATCCATTTGGGAGGCCTGTCCTGCCCTTGTTTCCTGTTCTCGCTGCAACACCTATCCTGGTTGGTCTTGGCTCAGTTAGACATCTCACACTCACATGACTAAAACAGTCCACATTTGCTTTTGGTTTCATGTAGATGAATACAGGACAGGGAGCACGATGTGCCAGCAGGGCAGTATCAAGCATGTTTCTTCAACAAGAGTCCTCACGGCAGTCCACATTTCAGTCCAGTGGCTATTCTCTGGATCCTGCTCCTGTGACGGCTCAGGTGCAAGGAAATGGGATCACACAGGTGGCCACACGGCTTAGATGCTCATGTCCCAACTAGGAACTTCTATTTCTTGTAACAGTCTCATGGTCAGAACTTCCAGGGATCCCAGCAAGGGACATACTTAGTTAAAAAAACCACCATACTCAAGGAAATCTGCAGTATGATTTACCCTTTATATATATTTTCCAATTAAGCCACCAAACAGTTGCCCATAGCATTCAAGATATTTCAAACAATATTAAAGTCCAGTTGATTCAAGACTTCGAAAATGGCAAGTGCTCTTCTTTAGCTCTAGACATTGCCCTTGGTTTAGAGTTTATTCATAGCCTTCCCAATGCAGATGAAGATTACAAATTATGGGCCATTTTTTTCCATAAGCAATATAGTCTAGTAACCCAACACAGCTGACATTCTACCTTTTTCAGGTTTCTAAAGAACAGAACTAGAGAGTTAACCCAAGGTCATACTTCTCCGTAGAGAAAGAGAAAGGGTTTCTTAACCCTTTGCTCACACATATACAAATATGGAATCCCTAAGAGACCTTCAACCTCATTGCCAAATTTTCAAAGCTGTGACCAACCTTAATGTCAAATAAAGACTACTTTATAGAAGGAGAACCACCATCATGTTTATTGGCTGAATCTGTCACAGGCTTTCTTTGTGTTGTATCAGTTGCTTCCCTATGTCTCAGTCTGAAAATATTGCAGCCCCAAACACATCTAGCTCCATGTTTCCTCATGAAGGAGAGAAAGCAAGGTAGTCACCATAAAGGGCATGGTTGGGATGAATACATTGCATTGATTTTCAGACTTCTTCAAGTTTCTGGTTTCAAATCAATAGAAACTATGTCTCCAGCTCTTCCCTATTCTAAATGGCTCATGATTCTACAGATTCTCTCCCCATAATATGACAAACATATTGTGAAAAAATCGGATCTTACAGATTTTGGTCTTAACAAATGGATGTCTAATCTTGTTTCCCAGCACCAGCGCTAAAAGGAACAAATTCATTTGTCATATGCAACAAGAGTTCATTCATTCAACAAACATTTCTATATTTAAGGCAGTCTCTTAGCCTCTGAATATGCATATGTCATAAGGGCTAGTGTATACATGTGTATGATTTACATCTAACTTCTCCACATATTTAGAGATAATGCTGTGGATGGACACTATTATCTATGTTCTTGTTGATACTGAGAGGCCACATTCCTTTTCCTTTCTTGATGCATATCTCTTTGTATTCCCAACATTTTGGTCCAAGACACTATTTGGATCTTTCTACTAACCTGTTCTGCCTCCTCCACAGCTCTACCGCCTGTGTTGGAGCCTGCGCAATAGCAAAGAGGAACGTATTGACTTGGATGCAGAAGAGGAGACTATCCAAGAAGCCCCGGAGGAGAGCATTGAAATAGGTGATTTATGACTGAAAGCCTATTCCCAAGCCCTAAAATCTTACTCCTACGGCAGCCAGAAGACTTTACCGAATCCTTCACTAAATGCCTTCATCAAAGTTCAGATCTTTCTCCTAGAGGGGAGTGAGGAGCAAGTGGGGTGTGAGATGGATAAATGGGTTTTGGGAAGATCACTCTAAGGCCTGGTCAAGGGGAGGAGGGGGATACAGAATCATCCCAGCTCGCCCACCCCTCATAGTTTACAGTGCTCAGTGAGTAAGTGTGGATGAGGTATTTACCACCCTGAATTGATTTGGGACAAGGCCAGGGACAAGGGAAGAGTCAGAGCTCTTCCGACATAGCCTATGAACTGAAAGCAGGTGGAACCAAAGCTATGGTCAGTTCTAGTGACATCAGCGGAGTGGAATTGAGGCTCTTGGGGTCTTGTGTCTTACTGGATTACCACATCAAATTTAGAAAATCAAATTTCTCTGGAAGTCCAGTAAGACCATGCTTAGTCAATGCTCAGAGACTTATCCTGATCATGGGGAAATGCTTTCCTCGGCTTCTGTGTTGCAACGTTTCCTCTCTACACGGGAGGGGTGCACGCATGGAGGATAGTTGTGGAGATGTGCGGTATGCAGACATGTGGGAGCTCAAGGTCATATGTGCTTTACCTGGTGCTGGGCTGGAGGTCTCATCACTCCATCTGAAGGTGAGTACAGATGCAGCAGAACAAGTTCTGAATCTGGCCATCAGGAATATCATAGAATCTTAGCTCTGGAAAGGGCCATAGAGGTCATTTGGTCTTATCATCTCATTTTACAGACATGTAAATTGAGGCCCAAGGAGGGACAGGCTTTACCTATGGTCCCAGCTCTGATACAATCTGCTCTTGATTTCTAAAGACCTTTCGGTTCTGAAACTTGTAGCTCTGCAAGTACTGGAAGGAACCTGCAGCCATAGGCAGCTGACCATGGTGTTGAAAAACACAGCCCCTTCCTGCTTCCTTGGAGCAGGTGGGCACGAACATGCCCCCTACTTTTCCCACCTCCAAAAATGTCTCCACATTGAGTGAGAATATCATAGGTTTAAAAGGGACATGGATAAGGAGTATCTAGAATGTTCTAATATGGAAGAAGTGATTAGTTGTGTACCAGAGGGCAGACTTAAGACTGATGTGTGGAAAGAACTCGTTCAATTTTAACTCCAAGTAAGGAGGCAGGATAGGGCAGAGTGTAGGATTTGGATTCAGGAAGAACTGGGATTGAATCCTGACTTCTCTACTTACTACCCTGGGCAAGTGATTCCATTTTTCTAAAGCTTAGATTCCTTATGTAAAAGTATTCTAAATGATAGCCCATATCTTCTAGTACTGTTGGAAACACAGAATGACATAATGCTCCACCATAAGAATTGGCTATGATTATCACCATCATGATTGCTACTAAGGAAGAGTTTTCTAATGGAGTTGGTCTGGAAAAGGGTGAGCAGCAAGTGTGCATCTATTAGGGATGCCATATAGGGGACTCCCACACTGGCTATGGAATTAGCTTAGTGACTTCTGAGGTTCATGGAAGCACTTGAATCCTGTTGTTGAACTCATGGTGAAACCAAACTGAACACCATGCCCTTAAAGTACTATAAACTAAGATCTCTTGAGGGCTTTTATAGGCAATGGGTGTCACTCTCACCATTCTCTGAGAAACAGCAGCACAAGGAACCTTACAGCTGCATCATCATCCTCATATCATTATCATCACCACTATCATCATCATGATTGATAATGATACGATCATAACATATTTTAATTATGTATACCTTATTCTATTCTAGCGATTCATTTTGGTACCACATCATACTTTTAAGGCAGATAATGCAAGTATAATTTTTCCAGTTTTACAGATGAGGAAAATAAGACACAGAGACTTTCTCAAGGCCACCTAACTTTTTATTGACCCAGATAACTGTGCATTTCACACTTGGGCTGGTCAGTGAGCCCAGCTCCTTGCTACTCCTTCCCTATTCTTCTGTTTTGGTGGAGTGGACCAAAGTGGATGGGTACAAGGAGGTTTGTCTCTCTTTCCTATGCGTGTGAGAAGAAAGAGAGAATAGGAGGAGACTAACACTACTTGACACCTACTATGTACTGGGTGCTCTCTCTTTCAATCTTATGAGGAAGAATATGTTATTTATCAAATTTCACAGATACAGAAGATGAGAGGTGAATTAACAAGGCCATAAAACTGGGTTTTGGTTCCAGTTCTGACACATGTATGTGCTTGATCACTAAGGTTCTTTCCAGTTCTAAAATTCTGTGACTCTTGAAGATGGCAGAATGGAGAGCAGTTGTCCCTGACCATGGTGCTGAAAACACAGTGGGCTTCACTTCCTATCTAGTGAGTTACAGACCTGAGATTCTAACCCAGGTCTGTCTACTTCCAATGCCACACCTGGGCTCAGAGGAGAGAATTAGTTCCCTGGGTGGGCATGCACTTAGAATGGCAGGGCCAGTTGGATGGTTTGATTCAGCAATGTTGATATGCAACATGAGATCTTAAGCCCTGGAAGTGTTGATCACTGCTGCCCCATATCGGGGACCGTTCAGACAAATCCTTACCACATATCTGGATCTGTTGTGAAGACTTGGAATTTCAAGGTGTAGCCAATGCACTCCTGAGTCATGCCAGTTTCATTGCTTTCCAGCGATGTAGCAAACAGATATGAGTTTATGTGCTTTAGAGGTGGGTTTTCTGTGTCCTTCATATGTCCCAGTTCCCCATCCCATTGTTAACGTTTCCCTCTCAAAAACTATTATTTTCTGTTTGATTCTAACTGTTATATATCAAAATGCATTTGTGTGGGGCCTGATAGAGATAAAACTTAGGCTAGCTGATCATAAGGATGTAGAATCCATCTATTAACATCATCTTGTAATTAATTAAGTTCACTCAAACATTTTGTACTATATCCATTCCTGCAAATGAGAAAATTGGGAAATGTCTACTCCCCTGGAAACCTTTTCTAGTCCCTTCTGCTTCTGTATCCAATAGTTCTTTTATGGCTTTCCCCAACACAGAAGTTCCTGAGAAGAAAAAAGGATGGTTCAAGAGGGCCTATGACCTGTTTTGTGGCCTGGATCAGCAGAAAGGCCCCAAGATGACAAAGGAAGAGGAGGCAGCCATGAAGCTGAAGATGACAGACACCTCCGAGAAGCCTTTGTGGCGGACGGTAGTGAACATCAATGGCGTCATCTTGCTGACTGTGGCCGTCTTCTGCCACGCATATTTTGCCTGAGTCCTGCCTTCTGCTGCGGACTGCACTCATGAAGGCCAGACTCTTTCCTCTGCCTCCCTTTAGCCCCATTCAGTGGTGTTCAAGGGAAACCAGCCAGTTGTAAACTTTGCCCAGTCGATAAATGTGTACCTGTGTAATTACAGGCTAGCTGGAGAAGAATCATTAACTTGCTGTTAACTTATGTATTTGAGGCCACTGTGATACAGTCAGCAGTACAGATTAGAGCTGCAGAAGGAAAGTCCACTTAGTCCTATCTAGGAAAACACAGTCTAAGAAACAGAAGCCCTGTGATATCTGATGCAAGTTTGTCTCAGGTAGATTCAGTGTGTCAATATTGTTTGTGATCCTTGAGTATTATTTTAAGAGTTTGGTCTCCCTTGTTCCTGCTACTTTCCCTGTCTGACCTCCCTGTCATCTTTTTTTTTAAATGTCCCACCTCATCACATCCTTGTCAAGTTTTTCCTGGCATAAGAAAAATCAATCTGATAAACTGATGAATGCATGGAAGTTGAAGATAGAGGCCTAATGGAATCCCTGTCTTGGGTGTTTGTTTTTTAAAGGAGTAGCCTGGGGATGGCAGTGCTTACCCCAAAGAGATGGACCCAGCCTCAGCCCAGTGGGGAAAGCAGATAATCTTGAATCAGGAGATTTTCTAGTCTTTTAAAAAATGTCCATTGTGAGTTCTTCAAGTTTGGGATTTCACTCATTTTGGCATTCCCTGTGCCTGGAATGTCTTAGCCACCCAGCAATGTTTGTGAGCTGAATGAATGATGTGGGCATTTATTTATAAACACTTGCTTTATGTTTGGTTAACCTTTCCTTGTGGCTGCACAAAGTATACACTCTGGTGACTATAATGAATTGGAATGCATTTCCAGAGACCACTCCCCTTCATAGTGTTGATGCTGACCTATGAGCTTAGAAGCTGACTCTGTCTCACATAATAGAGCAGATGTGCCTCTTGGGGGCATCTGTCACCTCAAAGCAGCTGCATTCTCCTGAAACATTAAAACAATTAGCCCGAGATCCTCCTCCCTATGAGTTCACGTGACCACAGCCTTCCTCTTTTAAATGTCTTAATTGGTGATCATCCATTGCTGGGGTTAGGGTAGGTGGTCTCTGTTCCAGGTGGTAGTGCTCAATGCTTTTATTTCTTATTGAACCTGTTTCCTAGGGGGACATTTTAAAAACTTAATTTAAATTTAATTAATGAATTGAATTTAATTCTCTTAATTCCATCTAGAAATATTAATTATATTGTAATATAATCCCATTGAAGTCATGATATTAAGTATTGACTGATTTAAGGCTAGCTTAGAAAAGAGCTGGGATCTGAGGTTCTGTGGAGCTGAGAGTGGTTCCTGGGTGTGAATATGGTTCAACAGGTAAAGGGATGGCTTATTCTTATAAAAGGGAAGGAAACTATTTGATGTGGCCTCATATTCCCCTTAAGCTAGGCAGAGAAGAGGAAAAAGTGGAGAATTTCACATGGCTAGCATTACTGAGAGTACTCGGTTTTTTGTGGAGTTTGTGATATTTTTGAGCTTTGAAGGGATAAAAGGAGAGGAAGTGAAAGCCAGTGGATGGAGCAGGCTTCAAGTATCTAGATTGTCCTTGATTCTGTTTCTGGCTTTGCCAACGATTCACTGTGTATATTGTAGTAAATTATTTTGTCTCAACTGTGTGTTTTTCTCTGGAAAAATGGGGACCTTGGTGCTTATAGCATCTACCTACCTCCTCTGGATGTGACAAGGGCACTTTCAAAAGGGGATGGGAGATATGTACATGAAAGATGCCATACAGATGTTATACTAAGCCACAGTTAGTCCCATAAAGTAAAATGTATTACTGTGATAAGAATAAAAACATTTATAAACTGTAACATCCTGATTTCTTGTTGTCTAGAGATTCTAGACAAGTACTGACCATGTCTGTGTCGAGCTTTACTCGGTACAAGATACGGATTAGGAAGCAGGAGCCAGGACCATTAAGAATAGAATCTAGCAACTTGAACAATTTAAAAAAATGTAGCAAATTTTGGAGATGATTTCAACTTCAAAAGCTCTAATAAACATGAGGAGAGTAACTCTACCTTCAAAGCATAATGTTCTATTAGAACAGACTGAGCGACTTGGGTAATCAAGGGCCAGTAAGTGATAAATTGTGCTAGAATAATTTCAGGAGTGCAAGGAAGAGCTATTCTTTGCCTCAAATTGAAGATGAGTGTTTGGGGCAGAGTGACTACTTATTAATGCTCACTTTATAGAACTGAAAAATCATGCCCTATCAGGCAAAAAAGCTTCTTTAAGTATGGATGACTATTTTAAAAGGAATCTCTTGAAATGAGAAGACAAGCCTCCTTCCCTGCAGAGTAAGGTTGATCCTAGGGCCTTTGACATGCCTGAGAACATTGCTTACTTCTGTATAGCTGAGTCAGGCATTGGTATTAACTTAGAGAAATGTCTACCTATGGAACTCACAGGAACCCACTCTTTCCTAGTGCTGAAATCACCATCTCCTAAAAGATCCACTACAGCTTGTCTCGCTTCACAAAGCAAACCTTGGGAGAAGAACATATGGGTGCTTATTTGGAAAAGAGAGGCATCTTAACATTACCCCCAACCCGGCCCCAGGAAAACTCCTTTTAACCTCCAAAGTGGATTTCAGTGAATGAAGTTGTTTGAATAAAGTATTGTTGCATTGATGGGTTGGTGGGGATGGAATTAGGAAGATGTGGGTGAGGTCAATGGAACAGCCTTGTTTGACGCACTCTGGAGGATTCAGGTGCATGTTGTTCAGTCCCAGAGATCCACATTGCATCCTTGATCCAGCCCGCTTTTTTCATCTAAGAGCAACTCAAAGAACAAGTAAACTGACACAATTCACTCTGTGCTTGGAAAACTGGTGGCAAATGCCCACTTGATAAAGGGCCCTTCTTTACACACGAATGCTGGCAGCACATACACATGCACTTCAGAATCAGACAAACGGCTTAGAGCAGTGGTTCTCAAACCATAGCTTGTATCAGAATCCCCTGGAGAGTTGTTAAAATGCAGATTGCTGGGCTCCACCCCCAGAATTTCTGAATCTGAAGAATGTCTGGAGTAGGGCCTGAGAATTTGCATTTCTGACAAGTTCCCAGATGATTTTGATGTTGATGGTCTGGGGAGCACACTTTGAAAACAACTATGTAGAACTAATTTCCAAAGGCCCTTCATTTCATCACCAAGGCCGGCAGACCTGGAGGAGTCTCTTTCCCAGGCCCTCTTTTGATTTTTAGTGATGTCTCAGGACCAAAAGTCTTTTCTGAAACCAAAGGCATATAGGTATGGTTGAGGCACGTTACAATGAAAAACCCCACCCCGTTGACCTTTAGGGCTCATCTACTTAATTCTGACCTTCCCTCTAGATGTCCAAGGCCTGACACTTTAATAGCTTGACTTTTGTTTTATTTTATATTTCATACTCACCATGTGCCATATATATGGCCCTTGAGGTCAGTCTCACAGGTACTATTTTTTGCAGACAGGTGGTTGAGGGGAGAATGTGCTAACATTGATTGGGAATTTTCTATGGACAAGGCCTTTTAGGCAACATCAAATGACCTCACCTAATCTTTACAACAGTTCCATGAAGTCTGCATTATATTTGGAGGAGACTGAGGTTCAGAGATTCGGGGACTTACCCAGGATGAGGACCTCGGTGGTCATGGCCGGGAGTTGACAGTCCCTCCTCCCTGTCACAGAATTTCCTAGGGCAGCCTTCCAACAGTGGTCCATGTTTCTCCTACAATTCTAAAGACCCTGGAATGGGGAGGGGTGTGGACAAGTGAGGAGACGAGAATCTATTGAGCACATACTTATTTAGATTAATACGTGTTATAAATTTATAACATTTGAATCTATGAGTTAAGCATTCCTATCTCTGTTTTCAGATGAACGATGACGGTTCAGGGAATTGATTGCTTTGCTGGAGGTATGTCTGTCTCTAGAGCCCATAGTCCTAGTTGTGGTTCAGATGGCTATCTCCTCCTGACCAAGGAGTGACAGGAATATATCTTTTCTGTCAGACCAGCTTCTGCTCTTCCATGAGGGCTCTCCCAAGACTTCTAGGACATGGATAACGGTGCTTTCTGGTTCTACTTCACCCCCAGCATGAGAGAAGATGGTCCTTGAATGGACCCGCCCTCCTAGATCACACTCCAAGGCCAAATCTTCCAACTAAACAACAGATATTTCAGATTAGCAAAAATGGAAATCAGAATGCTTGTGCTTTGCTTGTACTTTATGATATGTGCTATGGTCCAGGAATCAAGGTGCCTGAGTCCTGGCAGCAGAAAATGCCTTCTCATTGATTTGTTGTTGAAAAACTCTGTGGTCCAGACCACCCAAAGGCCCTGCCCCATCTGCCATTCTTCACCCACGGGCTGTATATGTTCATTTTGTAATTCTGTTTCCCTTTGCTGCGTGATGTCCACTTCAGACTATTTTTTCCACAAGAATCTGTGACTTGGAAATCCACAAGGTACATAATTAACTTTATCTGTGTTATGGGCTTAACAGTGTCCTCTTCCTCCACCCATTCATTTGTTGAAGTCTAATCCCTTGTACCTCAGAATGTGACTGTATTTGAACATAGGGTCTTTAAAGAAGTAATTAAATTAAAATGAGATTATTAAGGTGGGCCCTATTCCAATATGACTGGTGTCCTTATGAGAGGAGATTAGAACACAGACATACACAGAGGGAAGACCATGAGAAAACACAGGGAGAAGATGGCTATCTACAAGCCAAGGAGACAGGCCTCAGAAGAAACTGACCCTGCTGACAGCTTGATCCTGGATTTCTAGCCTCCAGAACTGTGAGAAAATAAATTTCTGCTGTTTAAGCCACCCAGTTTGTGGTACTTTGTTATGATAGCCCTAGCAAACTAATACAACCTCTAAGGGAATTGGATCCTGTTCTGTGTTTTCTTAGATTCTGTATTTGTCTATATGATATCTATTCATCACAGGGCCAATTATATGAACTCTTTTTTCATATTTTCTGTATTCTTGGTGCTCTGGTATTTGGGGGCCTTACAGACAGAGGAGAGACTGCCCTTCCCAGGGCTAGCCCTTTCTTAGAGATAGCAAAGGGCTTGGATGGGAGCACATCTCTCATATGCAAACCAATCAGTCTCGAGTCTACAGCCCCAACCACCTCCTTATCTAAGTCTCACACACCAAGGCAATTTCCCCCCTGCCCTGAATCCTCCCAGGACCAGGTACTAGGCAACTAGAAACAACATCAATAGCCCAAAGCCTGCTAGAATTACTCAAACTAGCCAATTCTAAGCGGTTTACTCTGCCCTACAGAAATGCCAATAAAGTATGGCCTAGGCCTTCTCCTTGCTCTTTTCTGCCTCTTGACCAACACTGGTGCTTCCCTTGTGGCCCTACGTGGCATGCAGTGACCTCCTCTCTGGTACCTGTGAATATAATATATTTCTTCCTTTCAAGCTTTGTTCTCCTCTCCTGTGACTGCACAGACTTTACTCTCCCACCCCCATCTACATTCTTAGCATAGATCCCTTCCACTTCTCGTAGCTAGCTCAAAGGTCTGTAGGATGTTAGCAGACAGCCTTTTGATCAGGAATTGCACTACTGTTTCCTAGAAAGACCATCTGTTTCTTTTTCAACCTTTCTTCTGGCCCCATTCACTCTCTTTTCTTCTTCTCTCTTTGTCTCCATTCTTCTCTTTTTAGTACTCATTTGCCTGGTCCAGCCATCTTATGGATTCCATTTTTCTATTCAATGAACCCAACATCATCAGTCTCTACCTTCACTTTTCATCCCTTTCTGACCCCTCTTGAAACTCATCAACTGGAGCCCCTGGGGAATACACCTGTGGTCCCACAAAGCTAGGTTGGTTCAACTTGCTGCAGCAAGGGAGAAATTCAAGCAGAAGTGCAGCTTCTCACCAAACAGGGAAAGAGTTAGGGTCATTATGGGATTTTGAGGAAGGGTGGAGTTTGGGGAAAATTTACCTGAGGCTGTGTTTTGTTAGGCTAAAAGTAAAGTAAAGAGAGTGTGTAAAGGTATTAATATTCATCCTGGTCTAAGAAGCAGACCCAGGGTTCCTGTTATCTTGGAAGTTCAAAGTTAAGATAAATATGGAATGTTATGTCTAGAAACCCCTTATCTGAAGCTCTGCACCTGGGTTGGAAATTGAGGCTACTTCTCTGTCAGTGACCCACGTCACTCAGAGCCTTCAGGTACAAGTGAGATATTTCATTCTCACTGATATGATTTCAAATAGCCAAGTTTCTCAGTCTTTGATTTTAGAGAACAGGTTTTCAGCACCACGTCCTTGGTGTTAGTTAACACAGGCTGTTTTTACGGGCTCAGACTCCTGGTCTCTCATTCTCAAATCCAACTCTGACTGCTCCAGGGCCAGGGTCCTGACTCCAGAGTTCTAGGTCTTAAATACTGCACTATACTGTCTACCCAAAGATATTGAAAAGGGAAACTTTGCTTGTTGAAATAGAATACTTGGATTATGGGCTAAAGAGTAGAATGGACAGAAATGAACTTAGTGGGTGGAAATATGGAGCCTGGGGATTATCCTAAAATGTAGTAGAAAAGAGATAAGATGATGGAAACTGTGAAATAAAACTCAAAAGACGTGACCCAGGAAGTCCAGCGTCCATTTCACTGGAGCTCCAGAAAGAGAGTAGGGAGAACATGAAGAGAGGAGGTGATACAAAGAATAGTAAGCAACTGATAGCTGGACTATTCAAGGGATTCCTGTGAATCAATAAGAAAAAGACAGGAGGCAACTATTAGGAAGAAAATGGACAAAGAATATAAATAAGTCTTTAAAGAAAAGGAAATCAAGTGGACATCATAAAAATGATGACACCAGCAAAATGGTGGAGTAGGCTACTCCAAGCTGTCATCTCCCAACGGAACATTGAAAAATGAGCAATAACTGTCAGAGCCAATTTTGTGAGAATTCTGGAAAACAGTCAAACGTTTATAGCAACCAAAAAAGCACGGATTCAAGAAAGAGTCACTACAGCATGGTAGGAAGGTTTTGTGGCAATCTTACTCACCCTTCCCTCACCCTCTCCCTTGTGTGGTGGCAGCCTTAAGGCAGCAGCACTTATAATGTGGCAGCAGTCAAAGTGAGGGCAGCCTGTGTTCCCAGTGTGGAACCATTTCCCTAATTCCAGAGGGAGCAGAGCCGACCATATTCACAGATTATTGTGTATATCTGTTCTAACCTGTCTGGGGGCTACCTGAAGGACTGGCACAAGGTGCTCCTCTGTTTCACCTACCTCAACTCAGACCAGAAAAGCTTGAAAATATTGTAAGCCAAACTAACAAGGCTCAGAAACTTGAGGCAAAAAATTATAGTCAAAACATACAATAGATTGTTTAAGGCAAA